CTTTATCGCCCTCTATTTATTACAGACCTCGGCACACGGGAGGTGCTTGGTAAAGCCACTTGCGACTCGGCGCTGAACGATGTCTGCCTGCGGCACATCTCCTGCCGACAACTGTGGAGTTTGTTTCGAGCTAGTTGTGGTGTCGATCAGGACAATCGCTGTACAATGTCTGACCGGTATGTCAATGCTACAGAAACCGAACAACTGGGGAGGGGGAGTCCTTCCAGCGCTGTCTGTAACGATAACAAATTCAGAGAAACGTGCTGGCAATCTTTTGAAGGTCTTTCATGGACAGGTCTAGGTAACTGCCATTGTGACTCGTCCAATTCGGACTGTCACTGGATTCGACTGCATACGAATTATAACAAATGCATTCGTGAGTTGCTAGAAATTTCTGTAGGTTTCAATCCTAGGAAAAACCTTTTTTTTCTTGGTTTAATCACTACGGAATATTACGCTCATGAGCAGATCAAGTTGATCGCTAGCTAGGCAACAAATTGCTGAGTAATGAATGAATTTTGTGCGCTGTTTGGATGGAAGGGGCATTTTGTACATTTGCTGGCCCCTTTTGTTGGTTCATTCTAACCACCAGGTCTTACCTTAGCCAAGCCTGTAAATTACTGTGAAGCTGCGAAAGAGTGCGAATGAGCCACTCTGTCCACAAGACACGTCGTATGTTGGGAATCCCCAGAGAAATGGGGTCGTATTCGGTCGCTGGAGGGCGATGGACCGCGCTTGGTCTGAAGCAATTGTTTGATAGTTATTTTTCCTGTTTCACGGTGCCATCCACATGTTGAGAGAGTCCCAGTGGGGAGGGGGTCGTGGATGGTCGTCGTGGTAGGAGCAAGGATCGTGCCACTAGTTCGTGGCTTTACAAAACTACTATAGGCCTACTGTTCTCAATCGCTGCTATTAGAAGTTGGTTGGTGACGACCTCCCTAGCAGCAAAAAGCACCCTGTTTACAGATCTTCACAAGATAGCCTATACAAGCTTACCATTCGCTGCCCCCACCAAGCTGAATTGTCCAAATTTTTCATTGTCTATTCTTCATTGCAGATGAGATTTCGCGATCGGGACAGTTCCCACCAGCCAGCGCCCGTCAGAGCCACCCGAGCCAAAGCCAAGCCGTTGCCCCAACAAGACCGCCGCCTGTGACTACTAGGCAGCCGATTACGACAACAACTACTGCCTTGACTACAAGGAGACCACCCAGGACGGAGAGGTAAAACTATGGATGTATGGAAAACCAAAAGATATCGCGGGATTGTACCCGTGTTTAGCCGTTATCAAATCACTGCCTATAGCCAACGGACGACCACTCGCCCGGCGACGACGTCATGGGATCGGGGACGACATCAGCAGAACTATGCCAGGACCACAAGTGCTTCTCCCAGCTGGCGGCAAACAACACCTGCACCAGGTGTTCATCATTCAAATCAGCAACGACACGTCGCTGCGCAAACGCAGGGTACGATTTTTTTAAAAGTTGTTGACCCATCAGTGGGGGAAGGTTATTCTAGGCCTGGAAAACTGGGATAGTAACCCAGTCTTAGCGTCAATTGAGACAGTAGGAGAAGGAGTCGAAAGGCGATTAAGAATTCGTGAAGACACCTGACCGCACTCAGCGTTGCGTTCACTGCACGCTGCACTCTATACAGTTATTATCACCGAAGTCGGGGCGTGTCAGTGACGAGTTGATTGTGCATGGCTGAATTTCATAACTACTGTAGCGCGGGCGTTCACTGAGTGATGGAAAAGGGCTGGCGTCGCGCCAAAACCCACGCCCGACTGACATCAGCCGACAAGGACTGCGCAATCTCCTCTGAAATCATTCATTCACTGGCCGCGACTGGAAACAGTAGCGCAACTAGGCAGCTCACTAACAATAAGAGGTCGCCTCTGGGTCTCCTTCAGGGACAGGCTGATCGGATGGGAGGAGTCAAGCCTGCCACTGGAGTCTTTCTCATTGGTGCACTTTCTGAACACGCCAATGAGGGAGCGGATGAGCATGCCAGAGGGAAATGCCCACCTGCACCCGCTCGACCATGCCTTGAAGAACCCATAATTATGACCCATGAAATCGATAGGACGTGTCAAGGGCCGTGTTTTCGAGCGCAGCCAGGATGCGTTTTCCGCCAATTGTTGCGGGTTCAGGAGGGCGTTGTTGGTGGAGAAGGCTGTCTCGGCTAGCCCTAAGCCACGCTCCGTCGCCACATTACAGTAGTTTGTCATTCGTTAGAGAAATTCAAGCAGTACTTTTTTGTAATGAGTTTCCACCTCATTTTATCAATTCTGG